ATAGGCACAATGTATAGTATTTGATCGTTCCGCATAATTTTTGAGAACCTTTGGTGTTTTTCGACTTAATTACTTATCTTATTTCACTGATGTATTTATTCAGCACAGTATACATCACCATTATTACCAACATATAACCAATGCGAGGGTGGGTATTCAGTGTCTCTCTTGTAGAATTTCATAGAGTTCTGATCGAAGAAATATTGGATGTCGATTTTGACTTTATGGTGATTCAAGTGAGATTTCTTCTCCAGAAGGTGATTGAGAGAGGAGAGCGGATAGTCGTTCGTTGACGCAGGATTAGTGCTACAAGGCGGAGCTAAAAGAACTGACCGCTCGAGAGTCTCCAAATTTTTATGAATTTTCTTAGCAAGGCAGGCTCGAACAATCCTCAGAAAAAAATAGATTTCGACTTACTTTGCTTTCAAGTTGAAGGCGTTGCCATCAAGCTGTCAACGATTCTTCCCATCACTGACACTGGTATTAGTTGATGCCGGTCTTCAGCGCAAAGGCCCTCCCGTATTGCGCCAACGACTCAGGAAGTTCGAATTCAGAGGGAGTTGGGTTTTTACTGTCAGAACTCCCGAATCGTTTGAGCAAATCTACTGCGGCTCGTGGATTTGTTAGCACACTGCACCCAGTCCACATCACCAATGACCAGGGTGAAAATCGTGTCGAGTACGTGGTCGCAGAAGTACGACCCCCCCCCCGAAATCGAGATCCTGGCACGACCCCCTAAAACAGAGCAAATTAATTCAATTAATTAATCAAAAAAATCCTGCAAAATAATGTTATGGACGCCTCATCTTGTCATCTGTGCACTGTCTTTCATCGCTGCACACTTTTGTGTATTTACTGAAATATCGACTCGAGGAAAGAGGCATTAACTTTGTGTGACCTCAAAGTCGTTCAGAAATGCACAGAAATCCTGAAGGCACGGGGTTGCGATTCAATCTTGATTCTTGCTTGAGTATATCGAAACAGCCGAGTGTATCAAAGGCCGATTCAACGGCAGCTGCGGCGCGATTGTCACTGGGTCAGATTTGCTGAAATCCCGAAAAAAAACCGTCGAAATCTACACCCTCGATGAAAAGGTTGCATTCCTCCATTTCATAACCTTTGAAGCAGTTTGAGGTAGGGTTAGATAGAGCTGGATTTCGCGTTTCCAAGAAGTATTGAAATTGCTCTGAAAGCCTTCCATGCAGAAAGATAGGGTCTCTCAAATTTCGTCGAGTAAACGTCGAGGACGCTGAAATTTTCATGCTAGTTTTTGCCACTTCAAAAGCAATATCTCTCTAATGTCGTAAGATCCTGAAAAAGGGAAGATAGTTTTGGAAAGCGGAAGGTTTGCGCTTTCTGATGGTCTTCTTAGCTTTCTTCTATTCCTAGTTGAGAAGATATCTGCGTCGAGTATGTATCGAGGACGGATCCGGCCACCTGAAAATCCGCTCCCTCCTTCACCATTGCAAGTGTAATTGTTGGCAACGCTTGAAATGGGTCTAGAAAACATCCTCCCAACATAAGCAATAGGAAAAGGGGCAATCGTCATCATCGAATTTTGTCTGAGTATAGGCCATGCATCCGACCTCACTCGAAGTTGCAGAATCGATTCGAAGGTGTCATATGATCATGACCAGTTGACAGAAGCTGCATTGTAGTAAACGCATTTCGTAACTCCTACAACCTAAAGAACAACTTCATTTGCCCAGCGCTTTTTCCTTCACGGTTGTCGTTTTTGCGACAGGGTCCCTAACAACAGTGTCATTCTCAGCGAGGTATTAAGGGAGAAGGAGCGAGCGATAGGCAGAGGAGGTGCCTTTGCAGCGCGTGCGCACATGTGGCAGTCTTCTTTGCGGGGATGCACTTTCATTCTTTGTGTACTGCCTTCAATACGCCTGAACATGAAAAATTTAATATCATGTTTTTTATCAGATTATTTCATTTCTCTGCTGCGCTATACCCTCTTACCTATCTGCACCACGATACCACTGCTGTTACTGACCCCCAAGAGTACGACCCCCTCATGACCCAGCCCGACAGGTACGACCCCCCTGTCGAGGATTTCCTCGACCGATATTCACCCTGCATGAGTATCGTATGGATGGTCATCCGAAGGAACTATAGGAAACCAACAGGAACTTGATGATGTCAGATTGGGTTTAGAACCGATTCGGGATTACAATTTTTCCTCGATCAGAACTCTATGAAATTCTTCAGTAGAGACACTGAACACCTACCCTCGCATTGATGATATGTTGATAAATAATGGTGTTATGCATGCTATGCTGAATACATACATCAGGAAATAAATATTGTATAACACAGAGAGGCACCAAAATTTTATTTCAAAAGAATTCCAAAAGTTCAGAAAGTTCGAAAATTCCAAAAACTCGAAAGTTTCAAAAGAGCAAAAAGCTATTTGAAAAAGAATCCTTTTGAAATCCTCCGCGATATTTCGGTGTTTAACACCTTCTTCAGGCCTGAAATACATTGATTATAGTAGATGTAAATAATTTGGTGAACTCAAATTATTTACATCTACTATAATCAATGTATTTCAGGCCTGAAGAAGGTGTTAAACACCGAAATATCGCGGAGGATTTCAAAAGGATTCTTTTTCAAATAGCTTTTTGCTCTTTTGAAACTTTCGAGTTTTTGGAATTTTTCGAACTTTCTGAACTTTTGGAATTCTTTTGAAATAAAATTTTGGTGCCTCTCTGTGTTATACAATATTTAGGTGCTGATGAGGCTCCGGGACAGCACAATATTAAGAAATAAAAGTTAATACGTAATAACTACGAAGGTTCTTAAAAATTATGGACCAACCTAATAAACTTCTAACCGGATACCGGGCCACTTCGAGTTCGAATGAAGAAAAGAAATAGAAGCGCAAGCGGCGCAAGAGTACTGACTCAAGGCCGTTCGACTAGCCCCAAACCGATCGGAGCCGGAGAATAACAGTGATCTGCTTGCGAAAAATTATAACCACCATCCTTGTATTTGCCAGCCATAGAGGATCTACTATATGATAGATCTTTTATGCTAGGAACCACAAGCCGGGTAGAAAAACGCCTTTTCTAGAAGTGCTCGACTTCTCGAAACTATCCTTTAAGCACAACAGTCGTTGTTGTAGGGGGGGGGGCGGGGGACAATGGAACAGAAGGCCGATGGCAAGTGACACTAGGGCTAAGCTCAGGAGGCGGGAGAAACCCCACGCAGCAACACAAATCCCCAGGGGCTCACATCCTTCCCCTGAGTCCCTTCTCTCCCTAAGACATGGTCTCAAAGTACTGTAAAAGGCTCCTACTCAACTTGCACATCCTCCCTCCCCCCCACCCCCCAACGACATGAGCGCTGCCACTACAATCAATTCAGTCGATATTATTCTCTGACGCTATGATTATGGCTGTCAGTCTCCTCAGATACGCTTTCACTGGCCCATTATTGCTCGGAAGATTCTTAACTACGCATAGGAAAGGGCTGAACTCTTTGGCGAGGCCACCTCCTCTTCAGAAGGAGTGGTTCTGCAAGCAGAACATTTTCCAACATTTTGCATAAGCTTCTATTGAAAGACCCATCACTTCTCCCCCCCCCCAAAAGCCTAGTGAAAAACAGATGCCTGGCTGGAAGCATCTGTTAGCTGATAGTTGGTAAATGATAGAGCAATTAGTGACAACAGACAGAATACAACTGCAACAGGTTATCACTTCATTGGCAAGAAACACATTACACATTTGGTGACGGCCGTCGTCACTTGTGGTGTATGGTCTGCACCCGACGCTTTCGTCGCTTCTTGAAATGGAGGGTACAAGTTTATCCATCTTTCACTCCGGATCAAACTGAAATGTTGACCCCTGCTTTGACCATGCCAAGGATTGGATGCAAGTCGTGAAGAAGAATTCCTCCTATTTCATCGGGTCCCTTCAAGAGTTCGACTGAGCACCTTCGAAGTTTGACTGTTGTAGCTTCACTTCAAGGTGAAAATTCCCCGGTACATGAACACGGTCACCAGAATATTGCCTTTCTCAGACCTTACAGGGCAAGCTACACTTCTTGGTTTTCACTTTACCCTCTCTGCTTCACTGAGCCACATCTCCACAACGTATAGGGAGGGATACATGACCACTCTCCACATGGCCGTTCTGGGCGAAGCCTGAGGTGGAGTTGAACAATCTGACCAGTCACGTTGCTGAAAACCCGCCTTTCACCGTCCGAAATGTTATAAGAAAAAAATTCACGCCAAGGGTGGCAAAATTCTCGACACAGTCACACCTCTTTGTGACCAGGCCGAAAAACGAACTATGTTTCAGTTCTCAAAGGCTTCTCACTGAATCGCTGCGGTTCCGGGCAAAAACGGTTTTTCATGAGCCTGTCGAAATCATGATCAATCGGTTGCGTGGCCGGTGTCAAGTGAGTTAAACGGAAAAACGATCAAGCTAACTGGAAACCAGAACGCTTAAGCATGTACTTAAGGCAGGCCTGAAGTGTCATGGTCATCAACATGACAGTGGAGAAGCAGCTTGTGACTGCCGCCACTACAGCTTCCGTGGTCGCATTGACCGCATGTATTATCATTCTTCCTGATCTCTATAAGGAACTCATCGAAATTCACGACATAGTAAGTTCGTCTTTATAAGCGTGAGTGGAGTTCACTGACCAAATTCAGGTTATGGATACGGTAGCAGTATTTCGTCAGGAGACCGATTCAGCGTGGAACGAAATGAGGAGGTTGCACGCCGTCATGTCCCCACCGTCAAAACCACGCCAAAATCCATTCGAATCCATCTTCCGATCGAAGAAGCACGCGCTTCCATCGTGGTGTCACTGTGAGCCGGTGAAGGTTACCTGTCCACCAGGGCCGCCTGGTCCTCCAGGACCAGCGGGATTTCCCGGTAAGAGCCCGTATAGTATATAATGAACAGGACATACTGAAGAAACACGCGATGTTTTTAGGTATCCCTGGTCAACCTGGTGCACCTGGAAAGGACGACGTCACTGTTTATGCGCCAATACATTGCCCTGCTCCACCTCTTGGCTGTGTGCAGTGCCCAGAGGGGCCCCCGGGACTGCCAGGACCTGACGGACCGGAAGGTCCTTGTGGGAAAACCGGCCTACCAGGATTACCTGGTATGAATGGTCAAGACGGCAAGGCAGGATGTGAAGGAGCAGCTGGCAATCCAGGTCCTGATGGCAGTCCTGGTTTAGATGGACGTCCTGGAGAAGATGGAAAAGATGGAGTGAAAGCTCTTCCCGGCTCACCAGGAAGTCAAGGACCCGCAGGGCCGGCTGGTCCGGCGGGTAAGCCAGGAGCAGATGGAAAACCTGGTGAGCCCGGAGAAAAAGGACCCATAGGAGAGCCTGGTGAAAAGGGTGCATTTGGTCTGAATGGATCAGATGGTGCTAATGGATTGCCAGGTATGGTCGGTGCGCCTGGCTCGAATAAGGATTACTGCGAATGTCCGGCAAGAAAGAAGAAGAAGGCAAAAGTGAAGCGGACGGACGAAGCTGCTAAAAACTGAGTTGCATTGTGAATTGAGTTCAGCACTCCTGTATAATTAGGAATAAAAAATTCTCTCCATTTTACGAATTTTGACATTCATTACTGAATGAAGGTAAAATTGAATTATGGTCCACCTACGCCACACAACTGAGTCCCCCATAGAATCGCAGCAACGCTTGAATGTGTATATGACACACACAGTGAAATCTCGGTCTATTTTCTTTTATAAGTATCAACCACTACTTTGGGAAACATTACGAAATCGGAATGACTTCTTAAACGGCTCTTCCTTTCGATGGTGTCGATAACGTCGTTGTGCCCTGAACCTGTTACTACTTGACACACTCGATCTAAGGAGAAAGGAAGAGTGTGCGCCTTTTAAAAATGTGGTTCTGAATTGCGCAGCTGTTTCGAATTTTTTTTAAAATGGCCACGTTGAGGATTTTTGCAAAATTAACGAGGAAAATTTGTGATGAGTGCGAGTTTTTACGCTTTCCAAAGCCATAACTCCGTTCAAACTCATCCAATCTGAAAAGTAAATATGTCATCATAAACTAGAAGATTTGCTCTATCAACGGTTACTAGAACTGCTAAATACGTCCACTATTAAAAAATGGCCACGTTGAGGATTTTTGCCCGAGTACCGCCGAAAGGTACTTTTTCGCTACATTGGCACTATTTCAACGACTATAGCTCCTTTCAGGGGCGATTATATACTAAAGTAGGAGCAGATTCGGAATCCTCGTGCTTTTCTCTTTCCAAGAAGTGTAAAATTGTTTAGCGTTCTCAACTTTAAAGGTTACATGCTTATGAATTTGACGCTGAAGGCTGCGTTTCTTGTTGAATAGTGTACTCCTCCCTGTAATTTCACATGAACCCTTTCAGAATCCTCTTGATTTTTCCTGAATTGAAGATTCTTTCTCCAGAGCCGTAGTTGAAGCGCGCGCAACCAACTGGGCCCACTCTGGGATGCGCCGTGTGCTTCACATCTCTTCAGATTCGAGGACTGGCCGATGTCAGACTTTGCGATTGGAGCGATTTTGCACCAATTGCAGGAGCGACGGGAGATTTACACCGCCGACCACCGATAATTCGGCGCCATCAGTTCGTAAATCTCCCGTCGCTCCTGCAATTGGTGCAAAATCGCTCCAATCGCAAAGTCTGACATCGGCCACTCACTTGAAAGATAAAATATCCTTGGAAAACGTGCGAATTTCGGATTCTTTAACTTGTGTGGTGATAAAACACTGAAGTAACTAAGAATTGCTACCGGACACCTCTGAATCACGAAAATTTTGTGTGGCGGAATATCATTGTTATTGGAAATCCTCTGGCCTGGCATCGACTCGATCCTTGATGTTTGTCCTCCGACGATGATGCAGCAATCCGGC